TAGGCCTACATTGCATGCAATTATGAATAGCGTCGTGATTGATGATTGACAGAGCGCTTGATTAACTTATAGGCATTGACCAATGATTTCCTTTTAAATTTTTTCACGTGAGTTGCGCTCATGTGTCAGACCAAAGATGACATAGTACAATATCGATTACCAATTACCCGAAAACGACATAATCAGACGAAGAATAGTCAACAGTCCACGGAGATCGACGAAGTAGCCTATACTGTACTCTATTTGGCTATTTCTCTAAATACATGATCGTTATTAGGTCGGTTTGAAATTATGTCCATTGCTAAATTTCAGACATCATTGTCGTATTGCTTGCTCATTACTATCATAAGTACTGTAGTCGTGGAGTCACGGGAAAATTTGAGAGACCGATTGCCGACTCATCCTCCTTCAGTAGATGGCCCGCCATTCGCCCGGCCCATAGGTAGTACAAGAAAGCCCAAGAATGACAGTGATGCAACTGCTTTCACTCAGGAAATAGACGTAAGTGGATCTGATGGATTGGATGATGGTCCGAGAGATGAAATTGGAAAACCAAGAAAACTCAAGAATGTTACCGAGTCTTTTAGATCAAATCCACCTCATGATCCAACTAACCCAATGCGACCTGATGCCATGAATACAAGAAGTGAAATTGGGAGCAATGGTGACTCAATTCCAAGGTCTGAACATGAATCTAGAACCGAACAGCGTCCAACTGAGTCCACCAGAATAAATGACAGAGGAAATAGCAGACGACCAGGTGCGATGAACGAAGATATCCCAGTGAGCAAGCGAACCGACGATCGTGGATCAACACGTAAGTGCGGCATCGTAAATTTTAGTGTACAATCGTCCACTCGTTGCGTACGTCCAAGGGCGTTGATCCGTCGATCCACTTTTAAATTTCGAAAAAAAATATAGAGAGGGTCAGACGGCTGGGCCCCTTGAATCTGACACTGAAATACTCATCATAAAAAGTTTCTAAAGTTACCCTGGTAATCATAATTATGCCCGGTTGTATACTTCGTGCAAACCAACATTCATAAAAATAATGATTTATTATCTACTGATTAGCGTGTAACGTATTCGAACCATGGAAAGTAAAATAAACTTAAACCAGTCATTAATTTAGCCTCTTTTCATGTACAGTACTTTTAAAATCAATCAAGAGGTTTTTCCTTTTCTCCTCTTTTTGAATTTCATTTTATATAAGTAATGTTGCGACTGCACTATTGTTAAGTGGAAATACTACCGTCTAATTTACGATCAAAGAGGACTAGAGAGATAGGGAGCAACAAAACATTAGTTAGCATTTTGATTTCACAAACATAAAGACTTACTTAATTTATCATTATCAGTGGCGGCTCCGGGAAAGCGAAATAGAAGGGGAACAGGGAGGAACTTGCACAATTGAGAAAGTAAATCACGCCCTTATATCCTTGATGCATAATTTGATTAGGATTGGGGTATGCAGGTCATTTGGACCTTAGTGGGGTAACGTCCCTACCCCGTAATGCATAATTACCATTGTATTGTTTTATTTTGTTTCTTTGTGCGGATATTGACTCTTGATGGCTTATGTAGCAAATGAAAGGAATCGGATTGAATTTAAAATCGAAGTCAATCACCACCACCCCTACCCTTGCTTAATTCTCGAATGACCGGCTAGCGACCGGCTAGGCCTAGCCTAGAGTGGACTTAGTTCTTTAGGAAACTGTAAAGAATAGGCTTACTAAGAATCTTTTATGTCAATATTTTTTATCTAAGCCTAGTCAGATAAATTTAAGAAACATGATTAAGATTTTAGAATAATAAAAGTGAATGTAATACTAGTCGCCTTTCTTGGTCCATGCTCACGGGACAACAATGCGATAATATCTCTTAGCCTGCACCATGGCAGGCTACATAAACTGTAACATAAATCCATGTAAATAGGTCTCAAATATTTTTAACTTCTTTTGTTTTAAACCACAAATGAAATTTAATAATTAAATTCACTATCAGGAAATTAGACCGAACCGCGTTGGTAATGAATCTAATTTCATAAAAAGCCATGTTTAAACGGTTATGCAGATGTGGGGTGGATTGGGGATCCCAGATTTAAAATGTATGACCCTTATGATGTAAATAAATAATATAGGATAAACTTGTTACTTGTTATTTTAGTATCTATATAGCGCCTATTCCGTTAGGTTAAGTGCTTTGTAAAGAACATTACAACCTAGTCGATAAGAATTAAGATCTTCTCAAAATCTGGTAGTGAGGTACGAGCGTTGCAAATTTGGCCCCTAATTACCAAGTCATTTCAAAACTTAAATTACACTGTTGAAGCATGAAATTACTGAAACGGACTGAACTTTAAAGGTTTGCATTACAACTGCAATAGAAAATATAATCATTAAAAAATTCAATCAATTCTTAATCGTATCCATTATTGGTTACATATTTATCTACGAATTAACTTGCTCTCTACATTCTGCTGTTCGGACCCACAGACTTAGGTCTACCTCATCTTCAACTACTATTCATAACTGTCCGATTGGACACCTTAAGAATTGTGGGAATAGTTCTTTTATTGTGGCTGATCCCAAGCGTTGGAAGAACCAAGATTGTGCGTGACTCTCCATCATTGGCAGTCTTTAAGTCGCGGCACAAATTCCATCTTTTCTCTTTATTTTCATTCTGAACTTGATTCACTTTCGTTTGGTTTTGTACTTAATTCTTCCTTTTGTTTTTGTGCTTTTGTTTACTTAGACGTAAACTTGGCTGCAGTTTATTAACGCATATAGAGACGATTTCGTATTTCGCAATTTACCGTTACATTAATGTTTTTCATATCTGTAGGGCTTTTAGTTTTACTACTTATTTTTATATGCTAGTTAAACCACTTTTTTCATTAAGATATTGATATTTTCACCGTAGCTTAGGTAACTTTCTTATATTAACACATTGAAAGGATTAAATGCCTTATAAATGAATACTCTTTAAAACCGACTTGCTACAAAAAGAACTTTAACTCAACCAAATGTCATGTATTATAATGTACTATTTATTTACGCATTTCCTTTCTATTTACGATTTTTTTTGTCATTTTTTCAAATAATAATGCTAAAACAAATGATACATATATTTTTTTAAAGAATTTAAAAATCTCGAATCCCTTTCCCACCTACTTGTATAAAACAATTAAACATCAATAAAGCCGTTTAAGGTCAAATGTTATCTACAGTATATGTTACTTTATATTCATTATATAGACTGGTTTCGGCCTGAAGGGTGCGGAAAAGGGAGAATGTTGAACTAAATTCCAGGATTCCGAACTAAATACCTATTTCAATAAAAACCTATTTGTCATTTTTAGTATTTTAACCCACTTCTTGAACTAATTTTCTACCATAGGGGAAGAGGATTCCGTCTCCAATCCCCCGACTCACCCAGCCGACGCACATGACTACGTAATATCTTGTGTAAATCTCTCACTTAGACGTAAACTGTACAATTCAAGGCTACCGACACACGCCTACCTATTTATAAAAAAAGTAATATTCAACAATAAAGGAAATTTGATATTTCGATATTGCATTTTTGCTCGACATTATAATGAGAAAAATTCAACAAGTTAAACACGATGGATTAAGATATGCTTAATGGAATTGTTATTCATTAGAGTAAAAGTAGGCATAATGGGAATAGGTTTGTTGATAGCATAGTACAAACTGTTTCAATGCGGTTTTTTTTCAGAAATAAAATAAATGGAAAAAATACGATCTGAATACCCATAATCCATTAGACCTCAAGAATGCAACTAAACATAATTTTTCGATGACTATATATATAT